GTAGCTCTAACAAGGGTAGAACATGAAAGAAATTATAATATAATTAATTTCATGATTAGTTTACAATAGCATAGCTTTCTACATTTCCCACACTTGATGTTTTTATTTATTTAATTTAGAATAAACGTGATATTATTAATCATAAAAGGCAAAACTTTGGATGGTTGAAAAATATACATTTTTAAAGGTAAAAAATGATTGGCTGCAATATTTGCGATGAGCTCTAAATTTGTTTGACTTTCATACACTGTCGACCATTGCATTTTGGAAAGATAAAAACTTATCTAGTTGTTTTTTATGTTAATATAAACAAAGCATGAGAGGGCTCAAATAATATATGTTTGTTTCTTCCCTTTCAAACAGATGATTATTCAAATTCCTCGCCCTGTCGTTATACCATTTGTGAATTTAGCAACCTTTTTTGTTAAAAAAAATTTGCACCAAAATATTTCGTCCGTTTTTTTTCTATTGCATGCATATCTGAAAACATTATGATATTCCTAACTGATCTGACTTATAATAGTATTTCTTCAATCCGAATACTCACAGGGCATTATGCTTTATAGTCAGCTAAGCCAGCACTGCTTGTGCTGCTTAAATTATGTTCTAGCGTTTGCTTGTTTTTTTTTAATGCGAAGTTATAAGTTTTTCAATCTGGCATAGGCTGAGCTAATTTGAACTCGTCAGTTTTTAAGCTTGTTGCATCATTTCTAACCAACCTAGCGGGTTCTGTTTATAATATTGTTCTAATTTCTAGTTCTCTATTATTTACGAATTAAACCTTAAATCAGTTGTATTGGTTATTCCTATCATAATGTCTTGCTTAATACTGATACCTTTTAGCTTCAATGGATATGCTCTTTTCCAAGCAATCTCACCTGGCAAATGTTGCTGATGAATCTGTCAGTGGCCCTTTAAGTCTGTTATACTCAGGTCTTAAAGAAAACCCATATTTCAGCGCTGGTGCTGGTCTTTTTGGGATGGGTCTTGGCGCTGCCGCTGTTAGACGCTTTGCCCAATTAACCCAACTCCTAGTTAGAAGAAACTTTACTCTCACTTTAGAAGTAGCTAGTCATGATACAGCTTATCCATGGGTCTTACATTGGCTCTCTGTCATGGCACACCGTTCAAGTAACAGTCGTTTTGCCAAAGCTGCTGGCCAGCACTTGGCTGTTCAAACAAATGTGATTCGTACTGAAGGGGGCCGGATTCGTGCTCAATTCGACTTCATCCCAAGTACTGGCATTCATTACTTCATCCATGCCAAACGCATTATTCGTGTTGAACGTGTTCGCTCCGACCAAACACTTCAGGGGGCGTCCATGGCTCCTTTCGAAAGCGTCACGTTGACCACTTTTGGTCGCGATGCCTCTATCTTTCAAAATATCCTAAAGGATGCTAGGGAAGCTGCAATGTCTAAACATGATGGTTGGACAGTCATATATAAGGTCATTGTCTTTCCCTCCTTAATGATATATCTTATCATAAACCTATATTTTATTCAGATGTTTTTCTAATAACTCGTCATAGTTTGATCCTATAAACTTCAATGCATTTAGCCAACCATTTAACTTTGACTTTCTATAACACTATATAATCATTATTTTCAGGCAGTCGGTCCAGAATGGCGTCAGTTTGGTTATCCAAGACCGAGAAGACCTATTTCTTCCGTTGTTCTTCATAAGGGTATATCTGAGGCTATCGTCAAAGATGTTAAAGAATTTATAGGCAGGCTTACTTTTTTTGTTTTGACTTTAAAAACTTTATTTAAATTAGATAATCAACAGTGGTACACTCAACGTGGTATTCCTTATCGGCGTGGCTATCTCCTCCATGGTCCACCTGGTTGTGGTAAAAGTAGCTTCATCACAGCCTTAGCAGGTAATGTGGCAGATATTAACTTTTACAACAACAAAATATAGATCGCTCTGAAACAATCTCCCCGTTAACTCCTAGCAAATTTAGTTTTTTTAAATACTTTTCTAATGGCTAGGTTTACTCTTATTTAACGACAGAGGCCCTTAACTTTACTGTCTTAGTATGCAGCAAGACTGATTATTTTTCGTTTATCGGTATGGTCTCAGGACTACTATTAAACCAGTTATGTGAGATGTATACACTCTTCGTCTTCTGTGATGATAAGCAGGTTGTTCAATTTTCCCACAGTTATATAAGTAGAGCTGACACCTCCATTGATTTTCACATGGCCTTGCTTCACTAAAGAAAGATCTCATCCAGAGTGGACTGCAATTTCGATCTATATTTTATAAACACCCACCCCTAATTTGCAGATATTACACACTGTCAAGGTGTTGATAAGACATAAATGGGATCAAAATTTCAGTCCACCTTGAATAAGAACACCTTTAGGCAAAGTAAGGTTATTTTAAATTTAATGAGTGCGTCAGCTCTACTCGTATTAATGAGGAAAATTCAATTGCC